CACTCCTAACTATCCTGATTTAGCAGGGACAGTCTGGTTAATCATCTGTCAAGGCACTTCAGTAGTTGCTAAAATGTCCTAGTTTCTGTTTCCTCACCCTGTGTTCCCTCTCCATCATCAGCTTACTTCAGTGGTATTCACTGTGTTGCAAATGAAGGTGCAAAAGAAGTCTGTATTTATTAAGTTAGCAAGAGAAAGAAGAAGGAGGTGGGTTTTTTCCCATTCCTGTAGGTTCAGGCAAGAGCAAATTGCTGTAGCCTCTCTTAAGATGTGTGTTCTTTTGACATCCTGACATGCACTTATCACAAGTGGTCACAATGCACCCCAGTTTTCATCTGTAAAATGTTGGGTAGGATATGCAGACCCTTTTGATACTATTTATTTAATTAGAGCATTTATACCCCACCATTTAACAACATTTTTTAAAAAGTGGCTTACAGTTAGTTAGCTTGACAATTCTCTACTCTCAGGCCTACAATCTAAATAAATCATGACACACAAAGAAATGGGGATGGCGAAGTGGAAGTTAAATCCAGCAGTTCTTGGCAGCTCTCCTTCCCTCTCAGAGTAGTAACAGATGGAACATAGGAGAAAGTCCTTTCAGCAGTCAATGAAGCACAGGCGGATACAATGGCTGTCTTTTCCTGTATATTTTTATTGCTTTATATGCATTTCATAATTCATAATCCATCCAGAGAATTTTGCACTCAGGGAGATGAAAATAATAAAGTGGGGAATAGGGAAAAAAGAAAGGAATGAAAAAGCAGTAAAAATACACTGTTGGTTCCTATTGTACTCACAAATAAAATATAAATATGGTTTCAATAGTACAGTTACAGTTATACATGTTTGTCTACTTGGCAGTTTCACTAAAAACCATCAACCTTCACTATGGTCAATCAGCTGTTCCTTCCAATCCATTTGTCATCTCTTTAGTAAATTATTTTAAAGGATTTCCTTTCTAGAGCTTCTTTTTTGAGACCACAGCATTACTGATCATATTTGCTCCTGAGATCTCCAGCCCAGAAGATTAGTTTTCCTTAGAGACAGACGACACTTAACACAAATGTGATAGTCAGATGTCATGTAAGAAATAACAAAAAGGAAAAGCAAAGTTTTGTTGAATAACAACACACAGTATGATTGCAATTGAAATAGTTCTGAAGTGTGTTTTCTTTCTTGAATTAAAATAAGCTTAAAAGAGGGGAAAGTGCTGTCAGTGTCATACTTTTCTCCATCTTTTGAATTGCAATTGAGAATGAGCTCATTCTCACCTACGGAGTTTGAAAAAAAAAATCACAAAAATTGTCCTTACAAATGTATTGCTTCCCAACCATTGAGGTACTTTTTGTTCCATACCTATAATATATTGGCACAAAAATGTTCCATGTCATTTCATGGTTGAAAAATGATTCAAAAAAGGTAGTGTGAGTATTAAAAAGAGAAACAACTCCTCCTGGTGCTCAAAAGTGGTAGACCAGCAAATGCTTTAAGTTCTCCCTTAATTCTCTCCACCAAGGATCCAATCAGAAATTCATGTGTCCTGAAAGACAGGGATAGAAGAGTACACAGGGCAGGTAATCACAGAAGTTTTGGCTGAATAAGAATGCAGTGAAAGTGGTTGTGTTAAAAGGTAAAGGTGTCCCCTGACATTACGTTTAGTCGTGCCTGATTCTGGGGAGTGGTGCTCATCTCAATTTCTAAGTCGAAGAGCCAGCGTTGTCTGGAGACACCTCCAAGGTCATGTGGCTAGTATGACTGCATGGAGCGCCGTTACCTTCCCGTAGAAGCAGTACTTTTTTATCTACTCACATTTGCCTGTTTTCTAACTGCTAGGCTGGCGGAAGCTGGGGCTAACAGCAGGAGCTCATGCTGGATTTGAACTATCAACCTTTCGGTCAGCAAGTTCAACCCATCAGTGGTTTAACACGCTGCATCACCAGATGTTTTTTTCTTGAAATAAGGTAGGCTGAATCTGGAGATAAGTTTATCACCAGTATCATTTTTACTGCAATTGATTATGACACACATGTCAAACACAAGGCCTGCAGGCTCAATTCAGCCGTCCACATCATTTTATGTGGACCATGAGATTTTCAATTACGTGTATATAGTCTTACAATTACAAACGTCCCCTTGAAGGCAAGCATAAGGCTGTGTGGGGAAAAAAGCCAGCGGAAAAGTAGAGATATCATTCTGGAATTCCAAAGAAGGCTGCAAAGAAAGGAATAATGCTAGAAACCAATGGATTGCTTCTCAAGAAAGTGTTCTTTATTAATGAAACAAACAACTCAATATATTCTGGGTATAAAAAGTAAAGGTTTCCCCTTAACATTATGTGTAGTCGTGTTTGACTCTTAGAGGAGGTGGTGGTACTCATCTCCATTTCTAAGCCGAAGAGCTGGTGTTGTCAATAGACGTTTCCAAGGTCATGTGGCCAGCATGACTGCATGGAGCACTGTTACCTTCCTGCCAGAACAGTACCTATTGATCTACTCAAATTTGCATGTTTTCGAACTGCTAGATTGGCAGAAGCTGGAGCTAACAGCTCAGCCCACTCCTTGGGTTCGAACCACCAACAATGAGCCTGAAGAGATTTTGTGCTCTCATAAGATACTTGTGCAAGAGTGGAACAAGAATAATACACAGAGTCACTGAGCATATGGATGCGTTTCAGGACATACAGTTTGTTGAGCAGTTTCCAATTAAGTACAAACTAACGGACAGCTGTTTCAGTTCCAAAGTACTGTAAATGCTCATTCCAACAGTTTATACCAAGGAAAGAGCAGCAGATGACACAGAATCGTAGTAGTTCTGCAATGGGAAGTTACCATAACCTCTGAAGGAACATTTGCTTGGACATACAGCATGGTATATGATGTTGTTGTTGGGTGGAAAATTAGTCCACAGGTCTTCCTGAAAATGAATAATGGGAAAAAAATCACTCATGACTTGTTTCCTAAATATTTGGGGTTTTGTTCTTGCTGTTGTCATTTGGAAATGACAGCACTAGAATTTTTAGAATTTAGAATTGTTAAAGAAAGGCATTTAGGAATGTGGAACGCTTCCCCTAAAAAGAAAAGCAGCTCCTTTGAACAAATACTATGGGCCCTTCCACACAGCCCTATATCCCAGAATATCAAGGCAGAGAATCTTACAATATCTGCTTTGAACTGGATTATCTGAGTCCACACACAGATAATGTGGGATTTCCTGCCTTGATATCCTGGGATATAGGGCCTTGTAGAAGGGCCCTGAATGTGGACTCAGATGACGCAGTTCAAAGCAGATATTGTGGGATTTTCTGCCTTTATATTCTGGGATATAGAGCTGTGCAGAAGGGCCCCTAGGCTCATGTTGATATGTGTTTTCTGGCTTTGGATATGAATGTATGGTGGAATATTCTTTCTTCTGCACCAGAGGCAGTTCTGTTGACATGGCTGTTTTTGTCTCCTGAAATATACTGGAATTCCTATGAAGATAGCATGCAGTCCTGAAGTCACTTAAGACCACTTACTCTTTGTATAGGGCCCCTGGTGGCGCAGTGGGTTAAACCGCTGAGCTGCTGAACTTGTCTGAAAGGTTGGTGGTTTGAATCTGGGGAGTGGGGTGAGCTTCCGCTGTTAGGCCCAGCTTCTGCCAACCTAGCAGTTCAAAAACATGCAAGTGTGAGTAGATCAATAGGTACTGTTTCTGCGGGAAGTCAACGGTGCTCCATGCAGTCATGCTGACCACGGGACCTTGGAGGTGTCTATGGACAATGCCAGCTCTTCGGCTTAGAATTGGAGATGAGCACCGCCCTCCAGAGTTGGATACGATTAGACTTAATGTCAGGGGAAACCGTTAACTTTACCCTTTGTATCCATCTGGATTCAAATTCAGGATGTTAGGGCCCTTCCACACAGCCATATAACCCAGAATATCAAGGCAGAAAATCCCACTATATCTGCTTTGAAATGGGTTATCTGAGTCCACGCTACCCTATATATTTCAGTTCAAAGCAGATAATGTGGGGTTTTATTCAGCTATGTGGAAGGGGCCTTAGCTAAATTTTCTGAGTGGCTTTATCTGTAGATTTCCATTATCCAGCTGAAGATCTGTTCTTCTGACAGCACAGTGAGCATTCCTATCTCAAGTAAGAGTTTGGCAACATTGCAATCATGTGCTGGAGTTGTCAAGAAAGAGTGTCTTTGAGAGTACATCTCTGCTGTAGAATTGATGCAGTCTGACACTACTTGATGCTATGGATGCCTGGGAGTTGTAGTTTGAAGCACCACCTCTCTTTGGTAGAGAAGGCTAAAGACCTTGTAAAACTCTGACAATAGCATTGAGACATAGCAGTTTAAAGTCACCATAGGTCTGAAACGATTTGAAAGGCCTAAACAGTTCTTGCCCAATTAACCCATCCGAACGTATCTCCCCTTATGAACCATCTAGGCCTTTAAGATCGTCTGGGGAGGCCCTGCTCTCGATCCCGCCTTCATCACAAGTATGTTTGGTGGGGGACAAGAGACAGGGTCTTCTCAATGGTGGCCCCTCGGCTATGGAATGCCCTCCTTAGGGATATCAGATCGGCTCCCTCCCTTTTAACCTTTTGGAGAAAAGTTAAGACGTGGTTGTTCGAGCAAGCATTTACAAATGCAGAGTAACTGACATAGGAAATGAAATGACTAGACGAAGGAACTGGATAATGTTTTAACAAGGAGATGCTACTGATGTTGTTTTATTGTGTTGTTGTGGTGTTATAGTGTTTTTATGTTTTAATTTGTATTTTGTTACTATGTATTTGTTGTAAACCGCCTTGAGTCGCCAATAGGCTGAGAAGGGCGGCATACAAATACAATGAATGAATGAACGAACGAACGAACGAACGAACGAACGAATGAATGAATGAAGTGGCGTCAAACTGCATCAACCCAACAAAGAACCCGCGGTTACTTTAAGGGGAAACTCTGAGGCGGAACGATTGTGCCGCGGCTGCTGTTTCCGGGGGGCGGAGAAAGGCATTGCTCCCTTTGCTCCGGTTTGCTGGAAGGAGACGAGGAGGAAGATACAGCCGACCAAGGATGGCTTCTTGCCGGGTGGCTCGCGGCTTGTGGCGGGGCTGCAGCCGGAGTGAGTGCGCCAGTGGGTCCAGGGGCTATACTAGCTTGAAAGGAGAGGTGGGGCATGCAGATTACCGACTCTCCCCAATTCTAACTTGTTGGGTGGAGGATTACTCGCTTTCAAATGGTTTCAGACCTATGGTGATCCAAGGCTGGGCCGATCATAGGTGTGCCTTGGCCAGATTTGCTCCTAATGACCAGGATGTGTATCCATGTGAAGTCCAAGGGCATATGCCCCATCTATATGGGGGTAACTTTTGGCAAGAAATATCTGTCCTAAACAGCCCCCCCCCCCAAAAGTACTTTCAGTCTACAATAAAGGAAAATCACTAGAGTGTCTTTAATTATCCTATGTTCTAGGATGCTTATATAGTATTTTAGGAGTAGCTTCAGAATCGATTGGTATACCCACAACACAAGTGCATTGAGTGAATTCTTAAGTGAATGAGCTTTATCTCTTTTAAGAAACAATAAGTTCCTTAATGAGATTTCTTTCATTTCTAGGGTTTATTTCTACAGCTCCTGCTTCTCAACTTTCAACTGCTGAGATTGCTCAGATGCGCAATGAACTCTACACAAAGGAGAGAGAGAGACAGTTGTCTCTTTATCCACGCATTGAAAAGATTGAAGTAAAATATGTTGGCAAATCTCACCCGGGCACTGTGTTTGTAATGAATAAAGGCTTTTCCACGCCATATAGCTGTGCTATGCGTAAGTAAATAGAACAGATAGTTGCAGTTACATCATTTGAAATTAAACAACAAATCTAAAGATAGACAATGCATGTACTAATTGTATGAGTCCCTTCGAGGAGAGAGGGCAGGTTAAAAATGAAGAAGATGATGATGATGATTATTATATAAAGAACAATGGTTTTGGTGTGATAAACTTTGGCCATTTGGTAAATACTGTCCCTAAGATCATTTCCATTACCCAGTTGTTCCTATATCCTTGTAGGACATCTGATAATTGCTTCTTAAATGTTTTCTTTCTTATTGTGATGCTATAGAAATCCCTTATCTCAAGTGCGCTCCTCCAGATATTATTGGACTGCAATTCCCATCAGCCTTAGCCAGTACAGGAATAATGTAGTTTCAGTCCAACAGCATCTGGAGAACATATGTGTCCCAATCCTGTAGATCATACATTAGTTGTTCGTCATCTCAACCATGTTCATAGGTATACTTTCTTGTCTCTTAAGTTTAAATCTTTCAAGCAGTTGTATAAGCAAGTTATATTCAGCTCAAATTTCTCTGTGAATTGATCCAAAAGTAGTAGGTAAATTGGCTTTCCCCCTTTGTCTTCTGTTAAATTGAAAACATTAAGTTTTCACAGTTCTGTTTAAAAAGAACAGGCAGCAGCTGATGCATGAACAATGATGATAAATGCTTGCTGTTGCTCACTGCTTTCTAATTTACTAGTCTTTTTGAAAATCTAAATAACAATTGTATTGTCAGGATGGTGAAACTGTTCTTTTACTAACAAAGTGTCATGGTGATTTTTGTCATTGTCTCTTTTGGGTTTTGTTTTACTAGATTTAAGTGAACTGCACTGTAAGAAATCTGTCCTTGCCCTTGTGGATGGGGAATTCTGGGATATGAACAAGCCTTTGACTAATTCATGTGAAATAGAGTTCCTTACATTCAAAGATGAAGATCCAGAGGAAGTAAACAAAGTATGTTTGTGCTCATTTCTTCACTGTGTTAAGTTCTCTTGGTTTTTAGAAGACTTTGCTTCTATAAAGTCTAAGAGTAGAAGGATTCCATATTTAACTTTTGTTGAAAACAAACGGTGTTTGCAGTGCTGTAAAGTTTCTTCTTCAAAATAGTTTATTACATTAATTTAAGATGGCCACTCTAAATAAGGGAGCCCCCTGGTGGCGCAGCGGGTTAAACTGCTGAGCTGCTGAACTTGATGATCGAAAGGTTGGCAGTTTGAATTCTGGGAGCTCCCGCTGTTAGGCCCAGTTTCTGCCAACCTAGCAATTCAGAAACATGCAAATGTGAGTAGATCAATAGATACCGCTTCTGCGGGAAGGTAACGGTCCTCCATGCAGTCATGCTGGTCACATGACCTTGGAGGTGTCTCCAGAAAATGCTGGCTCTTCAGCTTAGAAATGGAGATGACCTACCCCCCCCCCCCCCCCAAGAGTCGGACATGACTAGACTTAATGTCTAGGGAAAACCTTTATCTTTACTAAACACAGAGATTGGGTTAAATGGTATTGTAATATAATTGTGTTCTTTTATGTTTTCTTCTTTTCGATAACTATTTAATCACACATTTGTGTGATAAAGTTGAACCCATTTCCTCACAGATGTGTGTGTGTATAAATCTTATTTTATGGTCTTATGAGAACTAGAACACTATAGTGAATTATTTTTAGCTCTTGTACATATGACTCTCTTCCACAGGGTGTCATATTTTGTAATATTTCCCAGCAGTCAAAGAGGATTCATGAAAGTAATTTCATTTGAACAGCAGCCCTATTTTCCACAGTTTAATTTTGTGGTAAAACAAAAGGTGTATAAATGAAGTGCAATGGAGAGAAAATCAGTAGCAAGGTTTTGAGTCTTTAGAGCCCTTATTTTCAAATGAATTCAACTGGCTGTGGATAACTTCAGAATATTAAATACCCATTTTAAATTTTCTGTTACAGGCTTATTGGCGCTCTTGTTCTATGCTATTGGGCTATGTATTAGAACAGGCATTTAAGGAAGAATACTCAACCATCCTTGTTAGAGCTCCAGAAGTGCCAGGTATATTTTCTTTCTTCTTCACAAATTTCCATTGTCTTTAGTGAGTTACATATTCCAAAACATATTGCTGCTTCATGGATGCATTTAATTTATTTTGAGAGTATTAGTAGTCTAATTAATGGCCATTGCCAACATTTTGCCATGCATAATCCTTTAAGTTAATTCCAACTTTAATTAGTTCAGTGGTGTAATTGCAAAGATACTATAGTTTGAGGGTTTGGGAGAAAATAATATGTTCCTATATTTGTTATTTGCTTGTATTATCAAAGAAGCCAGAGTCAAATTGAGTCACCCATTTCTTGCATGATTCTGAAACACAGTATTTACTGCATTTTTTAATTTTACAAAGTTTTAGAGGAAGTTATTAGGTTCTCTGACAGCTGTTGCATTAGAAATTATGAGACATGGAGCCTTCAGACTATTCACAAGAAATAGTCAATTTTTAATTTAATTTCCTATTAATGATCCACATATCAGCTGAAACTCTGAGAATTGCTTACAGATTGAAATAATAATAGACAAGAAAAGCATATTACAAACTGCACAGAAAAAATGTAATGTCTACATGAAACAACACAGATTGTAATGCTATTCTGATATACATGGGAGGAAATCCCAATGAATTCAGTGAAACGTGAAAATGGATTCATTTAAATGTGGAATGTAAAAATCTTTAAAATTTTAAACAATGTTTGAAATGGACTGGATTAAAACGTTATGGGCACCATAGGCTGCTAAAAAGAAAAATAAATGCACCCTAGAGCATATTAAGGCCAGACTCTTTAGAAGCCAAGTTGACTAAATTGAGACTGCATACTTTTGTCATAAGTCATGACCTGCCTGAGATATAACAATGCTTGGTAAGATAGAAGGCAGTAGGCAAAAAGGGAAATTGCATTCCAGATGGACAGATTCAATCAAGGCAACCGTGGTCCTGAGTCTAGAGCTACCTGGAGGTCTCTCAATCATATGGTCGCCATAAGTCAAAGTTGATTTGATGCCGTGAACAATAGCAAATTTAGGTAAAGTTGTCTGCAGTTTTCTGCAGACTCATTTTAGAGTTGCCAAGTATTCATGGTTCAACTTTGAAATATCATTTGCACTTAATTCAAATATACTTTTTAATTTTTCTGAATGTTGATTCACTACTTTAGTGATCTCTGGAGCTTTCTGCTACGATGTAATCTTGGACAGCAAGCTCGATGATTGGAAGCCAACTGAGGTAAGCACAGTGATGATTCACTGGTCTGTTTTCTGTGTGTCCTTTCTTTAGAACTGGGGTGGGCAAAGACATGACCTCTACTCACATTCTGTTGCTTAAAAGCCCTCCCTGTGCCTAGAATGGCCCAGAAAAGCCAAAACTGGTGAAAATGCTCCCTTGTCCCCTGGAGAGCATTTGGGGACAAGTAATTTTATTTTTTCTTTAGTTTTTTTCCAGCACTTATCTAATTTAAAAAATACTGCATTTATTGTGGCAAAGAAAGTAGGGGAGTCTTGTGGCATTCAAAGTATTGCTTGATTGCAAGCCCTATCAGTCCTAGCCAACATAACCAATGGTCCTGAAAGATGGGTGTTGCAGCCTGGAAAATCTGGAGCCCAGAACTTCTCCATCGCTGCTGTATAGTCAATAAGTAGGTCCCATTAATGTACTTTGTAGTGACAATGGAGGATACTTGCATATTTGATATTTATTTATTTATTTATTTATTTGATGCACTTATTAACCGCCATTCTCAGCCCATACGGGCGACTCATGGCGGTGTACAGTACACATAAAAGACAATTACAAAAGGCCAGTATCAACAACATATAACTATACAACAATTACAGACTACACTAAACATCCGCTTTGTCTCTTAGTGGAATCATAGCCAGTCTCATCTTCCTTATACCATTCCAGTTCTCGTTACCGTATTGTTTGTTGCTTAGCACTTAATTAAATGCCCTCTCGAACAGCCAGGTCTTAAGGCTTTTTCGAAAGGACATGAGGGAGGGCGCCTGTCTAATGTGTGTCGGGAGAGTGTTCCACAGCCGGGGGGCCACCACCGAGAAGGCCCTCTCCCTCGTCCCCGCCAGCCGTGCCTGTGATGCAGGCGGGATCGAGAGAAGGGCCTCCCCAGACGATCTCAAGGCCCTCGTGGGCTCATAGGCCGAGATGCGGTCTGAAAGGTATTTTGGGCCGGAACCGTTTAGGGCTTTGTAGGCCAACACCAGCACCTTGAATTGGGCCTGGTAGCAGATCGGCAGCCAGTGGAGCTGGGACAACAAGGGCGTTGTGTGCTCCCTGCGTCCCGCTCCTGTTAGTAACATGGCTGCCGCGCGCTGAACCAGCTGAAGCTTCCGGGCTGAAGCTTTGGGATCTTGTGGTGAAATGACTTGAGCCACACCATCTGGATTAGGCATAACAGGTCCTCAAACTTAAAGCTGAGGATCCGTTTATGGTCCCTCAGATTGTTGGGGGGCTGGACTATAGTTTGAAAAAAAAAACATGAACAAATTCCAGTGCACAATGCACACATCTCATTTGTATGGCAAAAAATGAAAAAAACAATACAATATTTAAAATGAAGAATAATTTAAACCAACATAAACTTACCAGTATTTCAATGGGAGGTGTGGGCCTGCTTTTGGCTGATGAGATAGTTAAGTTAATTAAGATTGGTGTTACTGTCTGCCTTCAAGTTGTTTCAGACTTAGGGCGATCCTAAGTCTGAAGTTTAGGGTGGAGGCAGGTAAATGACCTTGGAGGGATGAATCCGGCCTGTGGGCCTTAGTTTGGGGACCCCCGCCTTAGTAGGATTGGAACACAGTCTTTGAATTTTGTACTTCTCAGATCTTGCAATGCAGTTTGTAGGTACAGTTAAAAAGAGAATTAAAGAACTATAAATAAGTATTTCTAAACTGAAATAAACCTTTGGCTTCTGCTTAGCACAATTGGGAGTACTACCTATATAATTCAGGATACTAATAATTATATGACGTTATTAAAATGTATTAAATATTAGGTATATTTAATACATTATTAAAATGTATTAAATACACCTTATACACATGATAAATTAATTGCATGTTTAGTCCAGATCCCCTCTCCAAGATTATCTTTGTATAAAAATATAGATATCTTGTGTGTTTGCCTTCAAGTTTCATGTTGACTTACGACATTTTCATGAATTTCATTGTTTGTTTTTTTAATCAAGGGTATTCAAAGGTAGTTATACCAGTTCCTCTTTCTGAAATGTAGACTACAGCACCTGGTAGTGGTCCCACATCCAAGTACTAAGCAGGACTAACCCTGCTAAGCTTCTAAAGTCAGATAGGATCTGTTTCCTTAAGCTACCTCCATAACCTGAAAATGTAAAAGAGATGTGGAATTTGACCTTTTTGGACACATGAGTATGGTTTTTTTCCCTTTTCCAAGGAAAGTCTTCGATCTTTTACAAAGGATATTCACAAACTAATTCACCAAGATCTTCCATTTGAAACCCTGGATGTGGATGCAAAAGTGGCACTTGAAATATTTCAACATAACAAGTCAGTATTAAGTTCCACGTTAGATACAAAATGTTGCTTTGAAATAGGATCACATAGATACTATGTTAAATCAGTATGGGGTTTCACAATATACATTTTAGATAACAATGTAAACTGTGCTTTAAAATCAAATTCAATATGTTAAATTCATTTTCTCTTACTGAGATGTTGCCCTGGAAAACATCCCCACTTTTCCAGTAGGTGGCACTAGAACATGTTAAATGCAAAACAGATGTGGAATGTCCGATTCAATGAATTACGGTAGATGCATTTGTCATACATACTTCTGAGAGAGCTGACATATAGTAGCTTACTTTCTATAGCATCAATATATTAGTTGAAAAAGAAAAAAAGAGGCATGTGTTGCCTGGGACGACAACTGTGCTCTATTTTGAATGTATAGGCATATTTCTTTCTGTCATGGCAACTATAATCAAGATAACCTTTTCCTCCTGCTGCTTAGTCATTTTATTATGGATTTGGGTGATTTAAGAGAAAGGAACCTTCCAGTTTCTATTAGCCAAAGCTAGGCAGAAAGGATGTTTTGGGACCATTTCTTAAAGAAAAGTCCTTAAGGCACTAGTGTGAGAAGCATCAATCCCATCAGATGTTATGGACCACAGCTCCCACATTAGATTATCATTGACTATGCAATCTGAGATTTCTGGGAATTGAAGCGTGAATTTTACAGGGCCACAGGTTCCATTCTTCTGTCTTAGGGAGAGAAGGCACAAGAACGAATAAATTTTACTGGAGTTGGCACTTTGGAAGAAAAATAGCACATATCGTCATGCATATGGAAAAAAAAGGGGTGGACTTGCTTATGGGATTCCAGTAAATGGTATACATTGTGAAGTTATGGACCTCTTTTATTGCATATTCAAGGTACAAACGGGATATGGTTGAACAGAAAGCATCACAAAATTCTGAACGAATAGTAAAACTGCACAGGTGAGCAAATAATTTCTCTCTTGTTTGAGAGCTAGGCTGGTTTTTGTAATTATAATCTCTTTTTTAATTAATGTTTTATTGTAAACTGAGTAATTATAATCTCATTCAGTCCAAAATGATTTTAACTATTCCAGACATAAATAGGCGGATGTTATGGCAGCCTCCAGATTTCTTCCAATCATAGAGTTAGCTGCAAATGAATGGGTGAAAATCTTCAGATTAGAAAATGATCCTAAACGGTTCCGGCCCAAGATACCTAACTGACCGCCTCTCGACCTATGAGCCCACGAGGACTTTGAGATCTTCCGGGGAGGTCCTCCTCTCGATCCCGCCTGCGTCACAGGCACGGCTGGCGGGGACGAGAGATAGAGCCTTCTCGGTAGTGGCTCCTCGGCTGTGGAACACCCTTCCCGTGGACATCAGGCTAGCCCCCTCCCTGTTGATATTCCGCAGGAAGTTAAAGACCTGGCTATTTAAGAAGGCATTTGACCAAGAAGGGCAATGATTGGTAATTTGACCATAGGAATGGAACAACGGAAACGATATCGGATTGTGGGTTGACGATGAGACGATTCGGAATGTAGTAGAATTTCTGTAGTAATGTTGATGTTTTGATATGATGTTTTTCTGATAATGATGAATTGTGGATTATTTTGCACTATGTTTTGTAATTTGCACTTGTTTTTTCATGTTGTACACCGCAATGAGTCGCCCTTAAAGGGCTGAGAATTGGGGTATATAAGCGCAGTAAATTAATAAATTAATAAATAAATAAATAAATAAATAAATAAATTTTTTAGTTGATGACAGAATATTTACCATATTGCACCAAGCACATGGTGGAACGGGTACAGCTCAGTAGTTCAGTTGATGAGATTAGCCAGATGTAGCTGGATACTTCTCCCTGTCCTCTGTTGTAGTTTGAAACAGTGTGAAATTTTCTAGGTTAATGCGGAGGCAGATTGATTTTGACTTTCCACCCTTATCCGTTCTGTACCTGTTCTTTTTCCCAACCATTTTCTTCCATCCTTTGTTGAAGTGGTCTTTCTGTAGTAAACCCATTCCTTTCTGGATGAAGTTATTAATATCCCCCATTTGAAAATCCTGCTGTGCAGAGGTGCAACATCCATCATTTGAATGCAGATTGGCTTTTTCTTTGCGTAGTTTTTGCTGCTGTACTTATTCTAGTATTAGAAATTATCGGTCTGTTGCCTTAGTAACAGGGACATGTTCTTTCTCTCCTCCGTTTCAGTAGATTTTGGGAACTATAGTGATTAATTGGTATGGAAGAGTGGTTTTTGTGAATGTTCTTTTGTGACCTCCAGTGACAACATTTGCAGCAAAAATTGAACCTTACAAATGTGGCTCAGCACTGTTTTTAAAATGGCAGCCAAAGACATATGGTACTCCTTTCTGTATTAATCAAAGAACCTTTGAACTTTTTCATTGTTGTAGATACCAGTGCTCATCTACAAAAGCTTGGACTGGAGTAATCTTGTTTTACTCGGTTAAACATACCATTCTGTTCATGTTGTTTCAGCTAAACATTTTTGTTGAATTAACTGGTAGTTTTTTGAAAATAGACAACTGCCTGTATAAAATTTTGGAAGATGTAATTGTATTGTTTCTAAGTGTTCTATGAAGTTATGGTTAGTTTTATGATAGGATCTCAAAAGCTTAGAACTTCTGCTGTTTGTGCAGTGAGGTATCCAAGACTTTGTTGGGCAAGTGGAAGTTGTGTTTTCTGATTGGGAATTGTTGCATCTGTAATGGTAGGCAATGCTGTCTTACTGCAGCAATAGACTTTTTCAGTGGTGTTCAAGTTTCATTATATTCAAAATGATAAGTGTCGGAGTTTGCAAAGTTTTGCAGGGTGTGTACGGCTGAATCCACGGATGCAGAATCGATAGATACAAAGAGCCCACTGTATTAATTTTTAAATATAATTTATTATTAAAACAGATCACACAGCAACATAGCCTTGAATAAAAGCGAAGAAAAATACATCACAAGCAGTCATAGAACTTGTGGCATTCTAGAAATCGACTATAAAATGCTATAAGCCATACATTATGCTCATTTTTTATAGGGACTACACCACTTTACTAATTTGTGTGTGACCTCAGAGGACAAACAACATCAGAATTATTGTTGGAAAAATCAAAATATGCAAACCAAGTACTATACAAAATATCTAACAAATCTACATTCTGAAGACGTAGCTGTACTATTAGTTTTTTCAAAAGTGCAGTATTCCAGTACATGTTTGCCACTGTTTCTTTGAATGCGATTTTCCTGCTTCTTGGCAGGGGGTTGGACTGGATGGCCCACGTGGTCTCTTCCAACTCAATGATTCTATGATGCTTCAAGATTTTTCCACATTGAGATTAATTCTAATCTTGTTTCTAGACAAAGGATTATACGAAGATCTTTCTGTGACAGTTGTTTATCATCTTTCTGAAAGAGAGACCAAAAGAGTAATTGCTGGTGATCCACAAACTTTCTGGCCGCTGATTGGGATATATATTCGTTTTTGGTAGAAATGTCAAGATTTAGCAAAATTTTGGTCAGATAGCAACAGTTTTAGTTTTGGAAATAGTTTTGAAAATGATTGATTTGTCCACTTTCTGACATATTGTCAAGAAATTGCAGAAATGTGAGTTGTATTATTATTAGTGAAAACTTTAGTATTTGTTAGGAACTTTAGTATTTGTTTGACGTTACTAATCTTTCTGTGTTTTTCATTTCAATCAGATGTGGTAACTTTGTAGACATTAGTGAAGGCCCTCATATTCCCAGAACTAGCTTCTGTTACCAATATGAAGTGACAGCAGCTCATAATCTTCAAAGCAGCCAGTCTGAACTTATACGGAGATTCCAGGGTCTCTCTCTTCCAGTTGCCTTGAAGGTTTGTAATCTATTTATTTGAACCATATTTGTGATGAGTATAAGTGACATGAAGACTCCCTGTTCAACAAACCCAATGTGTTTCCCCCCCTTTTCTCATATCAGACCCCTAATATAGGTGTTAAGACAAACTCAGTGGCCTGAGGTGTAGAGATTTTAATGATAATGATATATATTATATTATACTCATTTATATTTATGTACAGTGTTCTCTCGCTATATCACACTTCGCTTATTGCGGACTCACTGTTTCACGGGTCCGCAATAAGTGGTGGGGGGGAGCAACGGGGGGAGAGGAGGAGGGGAGGGGGGGCCAGGTGCTAGGCTTTACGCCAGGGCTTTTCTCCGCCCACTCGGCAGCGGCCTCCTCCTCTTCGCCGAATCTGCTGTTCGCTGCCTCAGAGGCTCCTTGGGCTCCGTTGATGGCACTGCCAGGCTGGACTGAGGCCTCAAACCAGGCCTCAGCCCAGCCTGACAACAGTGCCCTAGGGGTTTCCGAGGTGATGAACAGCAGACGCGGTGAAGAGGACAAGGCCGTCTGCTGCTTGCCGCCTCGGAGGCCCTTTGGGTGCCCTTGATGGCACTAATTTCTAGTTAATAACCTTCTTTCCCAATAATCCCTTTTGTTGAAATGTGATTCTGATTCATTTCCTAGAATCAAGAGATACTTGCACTCTTCAAAAAGGAGGGGTGGAATGTGAAAATTCTAAATTGGAAAACCACATATGCCTTCCCAAATTTGGTTTTGCAACTTTAAAAGTGTTTATATTACTTGCTTCAGCTGGATAGACTTAGTGCTCAGTCTCTGTCCTCGGGTGTATTTACAAATGCATGGCAATAGAGAAAATGGTCATGAAGAGGGAAACCAATAAAATACAGATGCAGGTGCACTCACGTCTTGCTTTTGTGCATTCGTCAGCCATCTTATTCCTTATTTGTAGAATGCTGGATTAGATCGGCCTTTCTCCTGGTCTAGTTTAAAAAAAAAAGAAAGAAAGAAATGTAACTTCAAAGATCTTCTTTCTTCTATTAACCACAAAAAGTAGGGCAAGACCTGCTTCCTACTTTCTGGAGAAGGTTTCAGCAAAAATCTCCTATCACTGGTATTTCTGCAGTTTGTTTTAGAAATTTAGTGGCTAAGAACTTTTTTTTCTAATTCTGAGATATTTTTAAAAATGCTCTAGAGATACCACTTAATATCTATAAAGTTCTGAATGTTATAGGAGCAGTTCTCTGTTGTTTTGTAGGGGTTGGGTTTACTGTTTTGTAAGGATGATTAACATATTTAATAATAAATGTGAAGAGAAATGTTTTGTTAAGTTCAGATCCAGTTGGTCGGGTTTATACAGGTTTCTATCCTACATCAACATGTAATGGATCTGGCTTTTTGAGCAGAAAAGACTTAAATTTGCAAAAAACAAACAAGCAAAAAAACCGCTATGATCTGAGCACAAAAATCTGTATCCTGATTTTCTCCTAAAATGGAAAGATTCTTATCAGTCCAGAATTCTCCATGACAGGGTTACCTTACACTCAAGAAATATGATTTCAAGCCATTTTCCTATTTTTTAAAAAATATTCTCTTTACCTGTATTTTCTATGTATTAATGATTCAGTTTAATTTAATAAGTATACTGTAATGGTGAACTTGTAGGAAAATAATTTTAAATACCTGTAATAATGTATTTCTACAAATTGAATAAAACCCCAAATATCATTTATCACTTCAATACTTATAGATTATCTACTTGCAGTAGTAGTTTACCTTTATTGTTTCTCCAGTGTTTGAGGGATGCATTTAGCATTTTATGTTGAAATAAACTTGTAAAGCTATAAAATATGCTATGTGTGTATGCTGGAAAAGCGCAGATTATGCACAGAAGTGAGACAAAACTGTATCTTTCTATACTTTGATAATTGTGCTAGAAGCATCTTCATCATCAGTAGTAGTAGTAGTAATGTTAGTATTTATCCCACTTTTTCTTTCCTAAAGGGACTCAAAGTGTTTGTTTGCACTTGAGAATGATTCTGAATGTTTGTTGTAACATTTAAGTTATTGAAAACCTTATTAAACTGCCTTCATGTCATAGACCATAGAACTACATGGGCATAAGTTGTGATAAGATGATGGTTCTTTTGCTGCCTGATTGATGGGACACTTTCATTTTCCAGCTTCAACATGCTGTGTGGTACAGATTGCGGGAAAGATCACGGAAACTAGTAAGTTTGTGACAAGCCCTAAAATCGTGCAGCTTACTTTTCTTGCACATAGAAAAAGTACAGTTGAATTTTTACAGAAACATCACAGACTTGAACTGTGTTGTCAGCCATCTCCTTTGCTCTGAAATTTTGAATCAGAAATTACCATTAGTTTCTAGTAGAATATTTTAGATGCCACCATTGTTAATGCTGTCTTCCTCTGATACAATAAATATTTATATAAGAAAAAATTGCTACATTTCATTTTAAAACATGTGGGAGCACCAGCCTTAAATATTCCTGCATGCCATTTTTTATGTAAAAGTCATAGTAGTGTTGAGTGCAGATGTGAGCTTTTCATAATTTATGTTTTACATGTGTAATTACTTTGTGCTATTTGCCAGACTACAGTTATCTTGTTATTAGTTACCTATTGATATTGAAAAAATGAGAGGAGATACAGACAATATGAGTAAACATTTTTGGAAAATTGAGATGAAGGACTATTAAGCTGAAGGGAAAAAAAATATGATCAAGCTGGCATATGTTTGGAGTAGACTGGCCAGCATTATAGTCTGGAACGTAATCCCTATGAGGAATGGTTGACAGAGTTTGGAATGTTCTGTCCGAGGAGAACAGCATTGAGCCATTATAAGACAACCATCTTCAAATGTTTGGTGCCTGTCATGGTTTTTGCTACATCAGAAGATAGAGTCTGGGCAAGCACATTCAAAATATAAGAATGGAATCTCTGACTAAATATTACAACCAAATTTCCTGAGAATGAGAGCTGTTCATTGATGGAATAGACCAGTTGTTCTCAACCTGTGGGTTCCCAGATGTTTTGGTCTTCAGCTCCCAGATATTCTAACAGTTGGTAAACTGGGTGGGACTTCTGGGAGTTATAGGCCAAACACCTGGGGACTCACAGGTTGAGAATCACTGGAATAGACTGTCTTGAAAGGTGACTCTCCTTTGTGGGATGTTTTAAACAAACATTGGATGTTTATGTGTCAGGGATACTTTAGCAGTGGACACCTGCACAGTACTTTGGATTGTAGAACCCTTAATGTACTTTCAAGCTATAAAAAAATACTCCTAAATTACTGCTCACTTTTAATAAACGGAAGTGAATGTTGTCAGAACAATTGTAAGAAGGTATATGTTCAGGTAGCTTGAATTATTGACATGCTGGTTGCCTAATTTTTATTTTTTGAAGGGTGTATATGCCCAGATCAAAAGGTATACAAATGTGCACATTGTAACTGTTCAGCATAAAATTATAAAAACTAGCCCATAAACCAAGTGTTCTGATTCTTGTTTGTACAAATCCACAAGAATCAAAACAGTTTTATTTTGCAGTCTCATTTTTAATATTTAATTGTAATGGTTCAATGTTATGTTAACAATTATTGAAAAGAAAGTATTATAACACCTCATTTGTTCCTCAAGCATTCCAAAGACACATTGCAATTCTGCCATTAAATCCTAGTTTTTTCACTGACAAATCACCAAGAAGTTACATTCAAATATTGTATGTTAAGAAAAGAGTACTAATAATAAATAGGTTGATTAATTTGATATTATATGTGTTATTTACATACCTTTGCCCATTTAAGTAAAGGAAAAAGGCTGATGGGAATGCAGTTGAGGCTTGGAAGAGAGTTTTCTATGACAGAATGTATTTTAAGTAAAATATGTGCCATATTTTACAGGTCAGTGAAGATGAACAAAAACAAGATGGAGACAAACATTGCACCTCAAATACTGAATCAGTCTAAGTATTTCATATTTGCACATGGAAAATAATACTGAATTAAATCAAGAATTTTTAAATTATTGCTTCATTCTTCAAATCATTTTCTCAAGAAATATTTCAGCCAAAATTTTATACAAACCTGGACATGAAGAACATAGGTTGGCCTATGTTTTGCACTTCATTGATCAGAATTCAGGTTGAAATGCAAAGACACCTGCAAGAGTTCATAATTCGAGTGTAGATTCAGCTGTCCTGTCCTTTAGTGATCTTAAAGGAAACCTTCCAATCTTTATTGATCTTTTGTAGGAAAGCTGACTGGAAACTCGTTCTCCCGGTACATGAATGTTTATGTATATTGGACCCCTGGCAAACCTGTTGTACCATGTGGTCCTTGTAATTGTGACCCTAGTCTCCAGCTACTTTATTCTTCTGTATGACAGGCCTCCAACTCCATTTTCATGTAGGAATATGTGAACTTTGGTATGTGCTGCCAAATGGGGAAAGATCCAATAGTTCTGTAAATGGTACAAGACGTTTGCCAATCTCTGATGTGGGAATGGCAGACTGAGTTGTCTGGTGTAGTCTTTGGTGTCCTGGAAGTAGGGTGACAGAAAAAGCTAGCAGTCAGCCTCTTTGGCTAAAATCATGAGACCCTATTTGTTAAAAGATAGCTCATTTTGGAGTCCTTTCTCAGCTATATTCCAACCCTAATCAACATTACCGTTAGCTAATAACCATTATGTTTGGCTCCTTGTACTCACAGAGTATTGATCAGATGCTTACACTATTTGTGGACCTAAGAAATTTCCTTGTATCAAGTCAAACCATTACTCCTAATCCAACACTGGAAGTGCTATTACCAAGAGAAGTCAAGGACTGAATCTGGGATCTTCTGTATATAAAGTGCATGCTCTGTTGCTGAATGATCCCTGTATGTCCCAGGACAAGCAAGGAATAGCTATCAACCTGCAAAGCTCTCTAGTATGAGAATTTGGCTACTTGTGAGGTTGAATTTGATATCTAGTGAACTATTGATACAGTGTACCATTGCTGAACACCCTAGTCACCATTTGTTGAGACTTTGCAGCATTGGAATCTTCCTGTGCTTTCTGTATAGTTGTGTGATTGTGGGGCTTTCTGCGTGATAAGATGTGAAACCATGGAAGCTGGAGCAAGAGGTATAAAGTTTCTGGAAGCATGGTATCTGACTTTTTCTGGAAGATGGGCAAGAGAAATTCAACTTGAAATATGTAAAACCTAAGGAAAAAATTCTACTCTTTCCTGTTTTAAGAGCATAAAACGGATTCAACATAAGAAGCATCCAGTATTTGTTGTTATAATCTCTATCTTAGTAAATAGTTTTAAATATGTGAATAACTCAAATTTATTTCTTAGACTCATGTCTGGAAAAGCTGTAGATTTCAATTCTCTGCTTTTCAGATTGATTTTCATGGCCTTCAGAAAACAGAAGATCTGCATAAATTGAAAGAAGCTTCTTAGGTTTTGCATTAATTTGTCCCAGGATAGCTTAAAATTATACATTTTCATCATTTATTTTATGCAAATAGCATGTGAGAAGCAAGAGGAGTGAGAAGAAGTTTGTGTAAAGGAACCATTGTAGGTCCCACATGCTTCACAAAATCTTAAGATTGTTCTCTTTGATCAAAATAATGAGAATGTTGTGTTTCTTGCAATTTTGAAGCATTTTTCTACTATGAAATTGTAAAATGGCTTTTTGTTTAGTAGAGTAGATATGAACAGTAGTCATGTTATTAATTACTGTGTATTCTTTTTTATGTCATACTACTTATTTTGGATAAGGAAGGCTTTATGCCTCAAATTAAATACATGGGTCACAAATGGTCCTGATAGTATTGCTTCACACCTGCCAGTTCTCTCCTTCACCCAGTTGTCACAGAGTCTCAATTTTCTTACCTTTTACAGTAAACTTTATATTCTTTTGGTTGACCATGAGTAAATAAATATGGATAGAAGAGTCATGTGGTCATGTTCAGAAGCTAGGCCTGCCCAAAATATATCTTGTGTTACACCTTGCGTATTAGTCCTTGCAGTACATAGAATTGGATTTCTGTCCTTGCTTTTGTGGGTTCTTAAAAGTGATATTGTCTGTTGTAGGTTCTTGTTTCTTCAGTCTAGACAGTTAAAGTCAGCCCACCACATTCACTGGGTTAGGAGCACAGCACTCTCACAAGAGTAAAAAAAATGAATAAATTACTATTTTTACCTGAGAGGACACCTCTCTAGGAATTTCTAGGTCTTCCAGCATGACTCTGGTAAAATCCCACTGGAGGTTGATCATAGAGTTACACTGGAGAACCTACTGATTTTTAAAGAGAACATTTTAATCAGATCTACAAATGATCAAATCCATAGAAATCAAAACTCCAAAGTGGAGAGATGACTGCACTTTATCTGGGATAGAATGTTTATAAGCAGCTTCAATTATACTGTGGATGCAGTCTTAGCTCTTAGCTAGAGGTCTAGCATATTTGCATGGACAAATAGAGGCAAAAAGTAATAGCAGTTCAAACTTAAATAAATAAATAAAATGAATGCCTTCCTAGGAGCCCATTTTTCTCAGCTCTCAAGAGTATTTTTTTGTTTCTTATTTGACAAAATCGAAATGTAATCTGGACCAGGTGAAGGCTAGGTTGGTCCTTGCCTCCCTGCTTTGTCTCATGCAATGTATGTGTTCAGCTTCCTATGCCATGGTTCTCTTAGAGTGCTATGAAAATATGGGAGGAAACCTGTGTGGTCTTTGTACTGTCAGTTATGGCTCTCAGATGATCAGGCAGATGTTTGATTAACATGTATTGAAAAGAAAACCCACACTAGATCAGATTTATTGGAACAGTAACTGACAGTCGTGCTTGTCAGTTATCCTAATGAAGATTTATTGATGAAGTGACTTCATTTTGTTAGAGGAGAACTAATATGCTATGGCAATCCAACCTCTGCATGAAGCAATTCTGTGACAGCTAATTTCCCAGCATCATAGTGACACATTCTGTGCTCTTTGTTTTCCTCCCACGCAATGGCAGGTATTTTTTCATGTCGGTTCTGGGAATAAGCACTACACATTTTTAATGCTAACATGTAGGAGTCGGTCAAAGATAAAAACCCCTATCACGATTAGCATTAACAACGTGTGGTCTGCAGGTGAAATCCTGACATGTCAGATCCATTAAAGGAAGCCACGGAAGTCTTCTCTTTGCTTTTCCTGTAATACAGAAAGAACAATGAATTTATGGCATTTGAGAATGAATGCATTTTATTGAGAGCAAAGAAATTTGGAAATGTTGCAAAATACCTTGTGTTCTCATCAATACACTCTATAGAAGCAGAATAAGGAAGGTGGGATTTCTCACTGCTAATCCTTCATTGCCCTCAGACCCAAGGAAGCTTATGGAACAGATTAAAGGGTGAGGTTGCAAAAGGTGAGAGGAAGGTACTGTTCTTAGAAGAGTCTCTTCATGTGAAATAGATTTTAAAAGTTTGCTTTTCTGATGGCGTCGCAGATTGAAATTCATAAAAAGGGTCATTTTAATGAGGTTAAACATCTAAAGATACAATTTTATATACTCTTACCTAAGAGTAAGTCCTGTTGAACTCAGTGAATGTTACTATGTGTTACAACTGTATAGGATTGGATTACACAGCTTCTGGAGGGAAGGAAGAAAAGCTAAACTGCTTTAAAACGTTGACCTGAGGGTACAAAAATGTCTCTTATAGGTTCATATTGACTTTAAGTATTAGAAATTCAGCTGTGATCTATAAAATGCAGAATATTAGAGGCTTGGATATCTTCTTTGAAATATAAATGCTTTCAGTAATATAATAATTTCCTTCTTCCAAGGAGGTCAAAGGAGAGTTGTAGATGTGCACCACAATAGGTGTTCATCATTCATGAGAATTTAAAAATGGCTTTCCCATATCCTTATCCTATGTCTGGAAGGAATCCCTTCTGCAGTGTTCATGCAGAGAAAGTGGAGGCAGTATTTTAAAGATTGTTTCTCAAATAGGTACCATGGCCTGAAGAAGGCACACATTTCTTTTCCCCCAGACACTGGAGCCCATTCCTGAAGTTTACCAAGATTTCAAAGACAGTTTGTACAAAGCTGAATTAACTTGTCCTCAAACCTACCTGGATGGGTTTTTTTTCACCGTGATCTTCCAGCTTGCAATCTGCACATGTGCAGCTCTCAACAGTGATCCAGGTTCTTTACAAATTTAGTTTGAAGTGAAATAATTTGTTTTCAGATGTTTCTGTTTAGGGAAGTGAATGAGACTGCACTTCTTTTCTCAGCACTCTTAATTCATTGTTGAGAAGCATGAGGAAGTGAATGTCATCTTAAGATGTGGTTAAGTTAATTTAAGTGATAAATGAAAATTGCCTCTTCCTTTTTTCTAAATTAAACCACCCAAATGTATTCACACAAAAACACGTGTAGCAGAGGCCTCAGAGAAGCACTCAGTGTGAGAAGCATGGTCGTTTCACACTGGCTTTTAATACTGTTTTATCATATACTGTTTTATATGAGGTGTTAAAATGTCTCTGTGTTGGATTTATATGTATTTTGAGTTTGTATTATCCTAGGTTTGAACGGCATCAAATTGTTGCCAAGTGTTAGCTGCTATGAGTCCCTCAATGAGGGAGAGAGGGCAGGTATAAAACAAAGTAAATAAATTCTATAAACAAATATAGTATGATCCGGGAAATGAAGTGAGAGCTGAATAAAGTTATCAAGTCACAAGTTTGGATTCTAAGTTACTTTGCTCTGGATAAGCAGTGCTAATGCATTTTCCTTCTCTACTACTCCTTATACCAATTATTGTGCCTCAGATTTTATCCCAAGTAGAAAACAAAAGTAATGTGGTCTCTCTGGGTAGAATGCATGATTCTCATCCCACATCTATGTATCAGAAAAAGAAAATGACCTGGACTTCTGTGTGTATGACGATTTCTTCAAATGAGTATATGATTGTTCTGTAGAAAGCCAGTGATCTATAGTATGTGGGAGGGGAAAATAGTAGGGCCACTGATGTCAGTTCCTAT